TGGTTGTGTGTGTGTGTTTTGGACACTGGATTTGTTTTAAACATCCCTTTCCCTTTTTATACTGTGAGATTTCTGAGGAAGGAAATCTCTATTTTTCAATTTCATATACTCAGGTCTCTAACAATTACTTGAAATCAATCATTTGTTGAATGAACAATAAAAACTAGACAGGGGCCTACTTTTCCGTCTTATAATCATTAGAGGCAGAATGCATTTGGAATAATCCAAATTAATGTGAGAACTGAGGCTTAGTTATGACATAAGCCCTATAAGAAAATATACTGAGAAGTCTAGGGTTGAGTCATAGACACCATCCATGGATGGGAGCAAAGGAAGCTGCACTGTTGATAAAGGAGAAAGGAAAGTTATGAGAAGAAAAGGAACAGGCAGTGCCTGACACATGGAAAGCAGAACTACAAGAAGAATATTTCAGGCTGGGAACATAGCTCAGTGGCAAAAGCTCCTGCCTAGCAAGTGCAAGGTCCTGAGTTCGATTCCTGGTACAAAAAGCTATACTCAAGAAGAATATTTCACATAAAAGGGATTAAGAAACATGAACAGGATGTGCCTTGGGGCTGCCACTTGTAACTTTTAGGGAACGGCCTGAAAGAAATAAGAATCAGTGAATGCGTATTGTTCTTCCAAAGACTGAAATAATGTAGGAAGTAAGGTAGATGTTAATTCTAGAGAGACAATGGAGTTCTGGGAGGGATAATTATTATTTTTTGTTTTAATGTTGGAAAAAGTTTCCGTTGTTGCTATTCTAAGTGATACTTCATAAAGGAGGTTTAATGTTGAAATGCTACAAAGAAAGTTTCATGTTTTGCCAAGTTGATACCTTTCCAAATTTGAGAACCCTAATTAAAGTGTGTAGAGGCCAATCGTCTAATCTACTTTATAACGTATATCTAACACCAGGATGATTTTGGCTGGTTTTAGTTTGCTATACAGTACTTAAAGAGCATGGAGAATAAATTGCAATGCAAGACAATTTAAGGTGTTACTGTTGGTGCGTTTATTACAGATCATTTGTTTGCATGGCAGCATATCTTATGCTTTTAAAAAATCCAGAACTTATTGCTTTAAATCAATAGGTAGCATTCCATCACTATGTCAGTAAATAGGAGCCCACAAATAAAATAAGAAACCTCCCCTGCTGGGGCTGGGGATTTAGTTCAGCGGCACAGCGCCTGCCTGGCAAGCACAAGGTTGTGAGTTCGATTCCTGGTACTGGAAAAGAAACAAAAACAAAACAAAACAAAAAAAAACAAACCTCCCCTGCCTATAATATAAAGAGATAAAGCCCATCTCTATGAAATGGATAGGCAATAACAATTAATATCCATCTCTATGAAATGGATAGACAGTAACAATTAATAAACCAACAAATAAAGTGACTCCCCCCTCACTTAAGATGAGCAGGCATACAATAAAAGTAGATGCTTTAAGGATAGATAAGCTACAACTTGCTGAAGAAGAGAGGGGGTTTTTAGTGACAAGGATCAACAGAAAATGAAAAAAAAAAAAATGAAACCAAGAGGAAATTTGAATGTTTCAGTGTTATAAATATAAATAAATTTCAGGGGACAACATAGTTCTAGGATTGTTTAATGAGTGTGTTGTTCATATGCCAGAATAAAACCAGCTTTTTAAAATCAGTTTTTAAGAAGTTATTTATATAGTACTTTTGACTTTTATAAAATTGATACTAACAATAAAAGGAAATTCTTCTTTTCCTCCCCAACCTCTGACCTTTACTCAAGGGTAACTGCTGTCCTCTTTCTCCAATGTTCTTCTAAAAGTGTTAAAAATATTTCTCTCTATATATATTTTTATAAAAATGGCTCAAACACACTCTTTTGCAGTCTACTTCTTCAATTTCATACATCTTAGAAGTCTTTCCATATTGTCGCATTGATTTACATTATTTTAAAAAATCTACATAGTATTCAGCTATAGGAATTCATTGTGTTTCCTCACCTATGGAAAAACCTTATAGATCTAGAATAATGCATTAACGTTTAAAAAAGTTGTAAATTTTTATAATGATGCACGAGGTCTTCTACAGAATAACGCATGTGAATATTGATTTTGTTTCTCTTTAAGTGCACACATTCCTATGCCCATCATATTTAGAATGATAAGACCATTGGTTTGGAAAGGTCAATTAAGATCATCTCTGATGTGATCCTTTTACTGAAAAAATATAGGCCACAGGGAAGGGATAGTTCTTATTTGAACTGAGAACTTGATCATTATTACTAGAGGGGTAGGCTTATTAGTTAAGATGCTTTCAGTTGCAAGGAACAGTGTGTATGACTAGAAATGGCTTGAGAAGAAAGGATATGCAAGAAATCCTTAGGCAGGTTCTCCTGGTTTTGGTTACTTTAGCAGCTCAATTTCTGTAAATTATTTAGCTTTTCCTCTGAATTCCCAGACTGTTGAGGTGCACTGAGAATTGTGACTTCGTACAGCTGTGTTCAAAAGCAGACAGAATAGTAATTCTTCTGGCATATCAGGGAGGAGGTCTTGTCTCAGAGAGCCCTTGAGGGCTCTTTCCTTACCTGCCCTTGGTCAGCACTGGGTCATATGCCGAAGCCTTCACTGCATGGAAGTCTGGGAAAACAGATCTCGGTAATACTCAGACTGTAGTGATAGGTGTTCCAACAAGGAAGATTGAAAGGGATTAGGAGAGATGTTGAATAGCTATTCCACAAAATCACCAGGAGCAGCCAATTATATTTTGATGGAGTCAAAATCTATCTTCCCTTAAGTCTCCACATTTGGTCATAGAAGCTGTATAAGCTATCTGAGCAAAACAAGACTTTTAGTGAAGGTAATACAGACACACGGCACATGATCACTTTTTGGCCAATGATACACCACATATACAATAGTGATTCCTTAAAATTCTATTGCCTAGTACATCATAGCCATTTCAGTTTATGTAAGTGTATGATATATTTGATATCTTTGCAATGAGAAAATCACCTAACAATGCATTTCAGAATGCATCACTGTCACTTAGTGCCACATCACTATGCAGAGAGCTGTAATGGCTCTTCTTCCCCTTCCTCTACGCTCCTTTCATGGCCCTTTGTGTGACTGTCATACAGTAAATACAGAAGGCTGCTGTTCTGCGGCTCAGAGTCCTCCCTTGAGTTTGCATTGGATTGTGTGCCACAGCTGCACTCCAGCTAATGTCGCTATTCATCAAATTCTATAGTTGTTTCTTTATTTATTGTTTCTGCTTCCAATGTGCCACCCCAGAAATCTTAGACAATACACTGGTAGAAACAAGTCAGACCTCATGCCGAGTAATTTTAACTGATTACAGTTTTGTCCTTCTGCCTTTTTAAGGTGATTGTTGGGGATGCTGTCAATTTTCATCATAATATATATTTTAACTTTCCTTTCCCTTCTTTTTCATCAAGCTTTTAAAAGATCTCTGACTTAGAATGGGTGGTAAGTAGATATTTGAAGTGGGGGCTCTAGGGGATTGTAGTTCAGTGGTACAGCACCTGCCTGATGTGGGGATTCTTAACAGTAATTTTACCTACCAGTCTATTTCTTCAGGCTATTTGTGAAGCAGTTATAATGGCTTGGAAAAAAATAATAAAGGATGTGGAAATAAAAGGCCAAGAAATTGCGTTTTATATGGGTCACTGTTCCCTTGGCTTTTCAAAGTTTGAAAGATCTTATAAGGTCCATCTCTCTTGAGGTCTGAGGACTTGTGAATAGCAGGATAACTCTGATTATGAGCATGTCAAAGGCACACTGTTCTCTAACTCCATTCTCCAGAATTACTAGATAAGATATTTAAGGATGCTATTTCATATGAAAAGCTGTGATATGGATAGATCTGTTGATTGCCATGTCTAGGTAAGACACCAGTGGAGACACTGTTTATTTGTGCAGTTCCCCCTTTTCTCCCTGATGTTGAATGTATAAAATAATTACCTTTAAAAATTGAATTCATACTTAATACTTTAATTTTTTTGTGTGACCCTTAGGATTGATTTGGCTCTTATGTATAAATCTGTAAAAATCACAAGCCCCGGGAAGTCTAAAACTAGAATCTCATCACCTTGGTTCACAGAAAAGAAAATTATGGCCACCTCTTAAATAGCGGCATTTTTCACATAATATGTTTCCTGAAAAGTCATACCATACAAAGAGGACATGAGATCTGTAATTTACAGGAAAGGAGAAATTAAGCAAGATTTACAGAGAGTTGAGTATATGGTTGTCCACCCTGTAATCCTCTTTTCTTCCTTGCGTGCCATATGGATCTTACCAATGTTATGTGTAGCTACTATTATATGGTCTTTGAAAGTCTCTGCTTCTTGTTTTAGGCATGTGAGTCCTTTACAAATTGTTCCTGACTAGCACATTGGTAGGACAACAAAACACCCACATTGACAAGTAATATGATTTTTTACTAAGTCGTACCAGATGCTTTTTGGTCTCTAAATTTTGATTCTTCCTTGTTGTTCTGTTTACTGCTACACAACAGAAGAAACCTCACTTCCTATTTCTCAATGCCCTAAAGGACAAAATCTTTTGTGAAAAATACTTTTTTTTTACGCTTGCAGATTTTTTTTGCTTCGGCAGATTCTTCATGCCCATTTTTCTTCCAAGACTATACCTGAATAATTGTATAAAGCTCCTCAGATTTCTGCCTATTTTGAGTGCCCCAAGGCAAGAAATATCCTAGTCTTGAAGTTTTTGTGTGAAAAGAACATTCCTTCTCTGCTCGTAAAGACAGTGGTGACCTAGCCCATTAGTACTTACTCTGAGAGATGTGGCAAGGCTGTGTGACTTTGTGGATTGTATGTTTGGATCTATTACTCTGTTATGAAGAATAGCTGTAGCATTGTCACCTTTGGTTGTATTATACTTCCATAAAGATTAGTCCATAGAACTAAGTGAAGAGGAGAAAACTTCAAGCTTGAACTGGAGGCAACTAGATCATCATATTTCTTTTCTTTGTGTTTTAGAAGTTCACCTGGACCCCCATCGAACGTGGTGTCCTGTTGCAGACTGTCAGACCGTGTGTCCGGTTGCCACTAGCGATCCAGGCCAGCCTGTGTTGGTGGAGTGCCCTTCTTGCCACCTGAAATTCTGCTCATGTTGCAAGGACGCTTGGCACGCGGAGGTCTCCTGTCGAGAGAGTCAGCCTGTTGTCCTGCCCACAGAACATGGGTAAGAAAGGAAAGTGGCTTTGAAATTACAGATGTTCTTGGAAACTCAACATATGTTGCTTTGGAAGAGTTATCTCACGATGATGTGTAGATATTATTTTCCTTCAGAACTTCACAGAGAAGCGCCCAGAATTGATAATTTGTTAACAAAGAATAACTACAAAAAAGCAATTCTAAAGGGATTTCTTTATTTGTCTCAGCAGAATCTTTCAGATATTGCTGAAAGTAGGGTTTGTGTGAGTTTTACTTTCTCTTTAGATAGAGACATCCTGGGCTTTATGGGTTCTCAGCAGGAAGTCATGGCTTTGTCCACAGCTATTTGCTTAGCTACCCAGTCTGCCTAATATCAATGTATCTCATTCTTCCTGCTTGCAAAATGAAACAGAAATGATGTTTTCCACTTAATTAAGCTACCACCTGATGGGGTATGCCAGTCACAGCAGAAAGAACACAACAATACAAAAAACACGTGTTCTTGGGGAATATAGGAAGAGAGATTCTTAATACCTTATCTTCAGAAAAGATGGTGCCAGTGTTGAGATTTTGCTGTGATGAGAAGCAATTAAATCTCTCCTTTTTGTCCAGAGCATTTTTATGGTGGCAGCAGCAGGGCCAGAGTAAGGGACCTTTGTGTTTGATCCCTTGCTTTGCTTGAGGCTATGGTTGTTCTGCATCTCAAGAACAAAATACCAGTGTTACAGTCCAGTTGGCTTAATCACCTGGTGGCCTAGGAGTGTGCAGAGCCAGTTCTTCAGGAATAAGTGTGTGACCTGGCTGTGTTGGGTTTAAATCTCAAACAAAACAAACAGGCAAAAAAAAAAAAAAAAAAAAAAAAACAGATTGAATGCAGAACCAGATGGTCAGATGCAAACCAGCGCCTTCCACATTCTTACTGCCATGGCAGTGGGATCCCTAGGTATCAAGGGCAGTGTAAAGAACTCAGGAGGAGAGGAACTTTTGCAGATTTGCGTTCTGACCTTATCACTTGACATCTATGTGTCCTCATACAAGACAGTTAGGCTTGGTGAATCTGTTTCTTTATCAAAAAAAGGATGATTAAAACAGAGCCTGTCCCCTCACTATGTAAAATTATCCTCAGTATGAAATCTGGCCATGTCTTTGAAAACACTTGGAGAATTAGCTATGTCCATGTGCTGGGTAGTAATTCTGATGAACAGTAACTAAAGTGTAACCTAGAGCCATGGCTCCTGCTCACCCCACTTTGCGCCACTCCTTATTTTCTGTGCCCCTTACACTGTGCACCTCTACTGACCCATTCATCTGTTAGGTGCAGCTCTTTTCAATACGGGCATTGATCTTAAAGTGTTGATTATCGACTCTCACTCTGCCCATTATGAAATAGCGAGACGATAGAGCATACCCCAGTTGCATGCTGAGCTAGTTGCTCTGTGGTATGACTGATTCTACTGTATTTCTTCTTCAGGCAGTGTGTGCTCAGGGAGTGAAATATTAATTTGACAAAGCAGTGAGTTAAATCATTGGTGGAAAGTGTAATTACATAATTCACTGAAAGCCTAAATAAATAAATAAATAAATAAATAAATAAATAAATAAAGGTTCTTGTTTTGAGTTTTTTGAACTGCTAATAGTCTGTGTCTCTACTATTTTTACCTCCACCCTTTTCTTGGGGAAATGAATGAGGTACAGATAAACGCACTGATTACCTAACTTCCTAGAGCACTGGGACTTCAGTGGATGACAATGGGTTGACTACAGTTTCCTTTCCTTTTGTTTCTAGGGCACTGTTTGGGACAGGTGCAGAAGCCCCCATTAAGCAATGCCCAGTTTGCCGTGTTTACATTGAACGCAATGAAGGCTGTGCTCAGATGATGTGCAAGAACTGCAAGCACACGTTTTGCTGGTACTGCCTCCAGAACCTGGATGTGAGTGCCCCCGGAAGAGGTGGATCACATGGTCTTTCCCATACCTCGTCTGCATCAGAGCCGGGACCCTACAGTCCTTCCATTTCAAAGACCGAGCCTATTTTTGTCCTGGAGAAATCATTTATTTTTCTTAATGAGACTTCCTGAGCCTGCTACTACAGATAACTATAAATCCTCTTTTTGGTTGCTTTACGCGTGTCACTTTAGTTTTAAATATAAGCTTTTGTTTTAGGGACATTCCATGCTTTGGGGGAATTAATCTTTATTATATAAAGACCTGCTAGTATATTAGTTTTATATTCCTGCTCTAGCCATATATTGCAAACTTCATGGCTCAACGCAAGTTTATTATTATCTTACATTTCTATGCATGAGAAGTCTATCATAGGTCTTGCTGAGTTAAAATCAAGGTGTTGACAGGGCTGCTTTCTTGTCTGTAGACTCTGGAGAAGAATCCATTTCCTTGTTCTTTGCACTTTCCAGACTCTGCCTGCATAGCTGTGTTGGTGGCTCCCTTCTTCCATCTTCAAAGTCGGCAATATTGCATCTCTCCTACCCTTTTTCCCTAGTTCACCCCTTCAGTCACAGCTTGGAAAAGTTCTGTGCCCTTAGACACATGTGATTAGGTTGGGTCCATCTGGATAGAATAGAGAACAATCTCGCTTGGGGCTGGGGATTTAGCTCAGCAGCACAGCGCCTGCCTGGCAAACACAAGGTTGTGAATTCGATATCCGGTACTGGAAAAAAACTCCCCCCCAAAAAGAACAATCTCACTTATATCAAGGCCCTTAATTTAATCACTCTTGCAGAGTCTCCTTTGCTATTTAAGGGAATGCATTCACAGGTACTTAGGCCATAAATATCTTTGGGGGGCCAAGTTACTCTGCTAACCATAATTATACTGCTTTTGTCTTTTTGAATTAAAAGAATAAAACTACTCAATAGTGTTTCCTAACTAACTCTCTCATTCTCTCATTCTGCAGTACTGCTACTGTTTTATCAATGAATGTCCGCTTCCTAAGTCAAAGAAACACCCAGTTATTGCTTTTCCTTTCTATTCATGTAGCATGTCTTCACACATTCAAGTCGTTTCATTCAGCTCTGTGTCAGGGCGAGGTGTTAACCTCAGGGTTAAAAGGTGGTGGGAAGGATTGGGGAAAAGCCTTATTCCAATTCCAGTTTTTCTAAGTTTTGGATAGTGCCAGTTGGTTATATCAGAATTATAGCCTTAATTCATGGTTGTGTCACCATGCTTTTTTTCAGCTCTTTGTTTTTGTTGTTTGTTTTGCTTTAACTCAACAAGCAATTTGTTTAGCGCTCCAGTATCTAACACACTCAGTGAGTAAGGGTTTAGTTGACACGGGGTACCTGCTGGCCACTGCAGGCTTGGCGTTATTAACTGAAAATTACATACCTTGTTTAGGATGACATCTGTGAGTATGAATCTCTTTTTTTTTTGTTTGTTTTTCGTTTTTCTTCCGGTACCAGGAATCGAACTCACAACCCTGCGCTTGCCAGGCAGGCGCTTTGCCACTGAGCTAAATCCCCAGCCCCTGTGAGTATGAATCTCAATCAGCTTGGTCTCAGTGTTTTAAGAAAAGATATAAACTGGAAAGGTAAAAATAGATATTTTAGATTCTGGAAGTTCAAAATTCAGGTTGTAAGAAATGTTTTTTACTTTAAATTTGTTTTATTTGCCATATCCCCTTAAATTATACTTGATATTTGAGACCAATTGTAATTTTAAATGAGTGATATTCTGGATGAGGATTCCACTTTTTGTATACCTCACATGCTTTATAAATGAAAAACAAATCATTCTGTTTTCCTTCTGGTTTAGCCAGACTATTAACTGGGTTCCTACCTTCAAGGCAGCTGGGCCCATGAGGATCTCTTTCGGAGGCAAGCGTGTAGAGGACTGAATATGTGCGCCAGATCTCCAGCCTTTGGTGGAAGTATGTTTGGGGGATGGTGTTCCAGAGAACACTCTGTTCTGTCACTTGTACCCCTGTGGTACTCGGGATAAAATGATACAGATGTTAAGTGGCCGAATATACAGATTTCAAATGTTGAAGCTTCTTTTTCTGCTTACTGTGTTTCGGGATCTCACTTTCTCTTTTTTAGCTAAAAGCCTTGGCTTGTCAGTAATAATGCTTTTCTCCAGGCAAGCGTTCTGTGTCATGTGATGCTGTTGATTTCTGTTTATGGTTCAGTTGAAAGCCTAGGGCCGGGACAGGAGTGATTTTCTAAATCCCCAGTCTGAGACAGACTCCGAACAGATGGTGAGTGTGGCTAGGGCATGGTGTTGGTTCCTGCACTGATCTTCAGCCTTGCGGTTTGAGAGGTCAAGGTCATCTTACTGGCCTGCTTGCAAATATGATTCCTGTCTATAGCCTCAGAGTTTTGTCACCTTCAGTTGTCTCTAAAGTCCCACAGTTTCAGCTTTCTTTCTGTATTCCTCACCATGTCCATGCGTTTCATTGTTTGCCATTTAAATTGAGTGAACCTTTTTGCATATCTCCCCTCACTTCTCTCTGTCCTTTAGCTTCCAAGCTTCTCAAAAGCCTGGATACCTCTTGCTGGTAAATTTATTTACCCTTAGTCATCTCAATGCATTCAGAGCACAGGTTCTCATCTCCCACCTATATTCTTCCTAAACTTTGGAGTGATTTCTTATTGGTAAAATCCAATGGCGACTTCAGTTCTTATCTTTTCCAGATTCTCCACTTCATGTGACCTCCCAGCCACCTCCATTTCAGTTACCATCTCTGATGGTTTTCCATAAACCTTTCTGGCCATGTCTCAGGTTCTTTCTCGACCCATTCTTATTTATTTATTTATTTTTTTGGTGCTGGGACTCAAACTCAGTACCTTGTGCTTGCTGGGCAAGCACTGTGCTGCTGAGCTACATCCATGGCATCGACCCATTCTTAAGTGTGTTCAGCACCCTCTGTTATTCTCAGTGTATATGTCTTCCCAGCTATCTCATGCACTTGTATGATTTCTTCTACCCCATGTATAGCGATGCCCAAATCTTTTTTACAAAACCCAGATCTATATAATGAACTCTGTGAGTAATACTTGCTTGAATGTCTGTACTATTTGTCAAGTTGAACATGTCCAAACCATGGTTATCATCTCCTTCCCCCCCAAAATCCATCTCAATGTTGTTCCTTTTCTTGATAAAGCCACTGTCTTCTTTCTACCCAGCAGTTTTCCCCTTATCTCTGATTTTGTCTTCCTGTTTCTCCACCCATTACTGTAGTAACCTTTTTAAGGACTTCTTCTAAGGAATCTAAGGACTTCTTCATCCTGGCCTCACTTCTTCCTCTGCTTTTCTCTCACCTGGTTTGCAGCAAGAGCCCTTTAGAAGCCTCACTCAGTCTTCCCATTCCACCTTGTGCCTCTGCTGGAGCTTATAATTACCTAAGATAATTCATCAGGCCTTATTTTATTTTTCATACAATCAATCAAAAATCTCATTAAGTGTGATCTGTTTTCACTGGGTAATTTACAAAATTTCCAAAATATGCTAAAGATTTCTGGCTTGGAATTCCTAGAGGAAGTTATTAATATCACCAGGTGATTGATGGAGGTTATATTCATCTTTCAATGTGAAGCTGCATGTTTACTGAGATCTCCCTTTGTTTTTCAGAATGACATTTTCCTCAGACATTATGACAAAGGGCCATGCAGGAATAAACTTGGCCACTCAAGAGCATCGGTGATGTGGAACCGAACACAGGTGACCGTACAGAGATAAACCAGGCTTGGGATGAGATGCTTAAAGAGTCAACTCTATCTTTCCCACCTTATTCCCTGTCTCCCTGTGCCAGCCGGGAAGCCTCCGAGAGTTCTGGGATGGGACTAGGAGAAAGACAGTTCATGAGCAGAGTCTCTTTGAGGACAAGTGGAGGGACAGGAGTACTGGAGAACCAAGCAATTGACAGTGACCTGCAGAATGAATGCAGATGTTCTTTCCTCTTGAAAACCATGGAAGAATTTTTTAAAACCCTTGAAGGCATATTAGCTATCAAAGGCAGAGCTCTAAAATACTATGAGCCCATGCTGGGGCTCAGATCCCTCTGTACATGTCCTTGTGTGTTTATGTGGTAGGTTCAAAGGGATTCGTGGTTTACTTTTAATAGTGTTTCATAGCTATCAAAGCCTGTGCTCCTTTTGAGGAAGTTAATGCTCATATCCTAGTACTCATTATTAACATCAATATGAGACCGTCGGGGAAACTCGGGGAAAGAATGAGCCAACACCAACAGTTCACAATTCTATTGAGCTTGCTGCCAAGCTTGAATTAGCTTTCGGTTTGTTCTCACTTTTGCTTCAACCCTTTTTATCTTTTTCATTTGTGTCCAGTTCCATCATGGCACAACACTGGCTAAAATACCCTGTAAATGTAGCTGTTCCATGTGCCCAAGACCATGTCTTAGTCATTTGAGCTGTTGTAGAAAAGGATCATAGACTGATTAGCTTAGGCAGTAAACATTTATTTCTCACAGTTCTGGGGTCTGAGAGGTCTGGTAGCGGCCTGGTCAGGGTCTGGTGAGGACTCTGTTCTGGTTCACAGATGGCCATTTCCTTGCTGTGTCCGAAGGGGAAAAGAGCCAAGGAAAGGGAAGGAAACTCTCTAGTGTCTCTTTTTATAAGGGTGCTAATTCTTTTTCTAAAATTTTAAAAGTTTCTGTTAGTACATGTTTGCAGTCCAAAAGGATTTGCATTCCTTGTAAGGAACTGGTACATGTATATCACACTTCTCAATTCTTTATTTTTCCCCTTCCCCCATTCTTTAAAAGTTTTTTTTGCCAGGATCAGGTTCATTTATTTATTTCATAACTTCTTATCAAGTTCATTATCATAAGTATAGATTAATAGCCTGGCCAAAACGTATTAAAAGAACACATTATGCTAATTATGCTAAATCAAGGTACTTTTAGATGCATTGTACATGCTGGATGATAACAACTTTATTTTCCTGTGGTCTGTCTTTTATTTAAGGGCACTAACTATCCTGAGGGTCCCACCATCATAGCCCAGTTAACTCCCAAAGGCTCCATCAGCAAATTTTGCTACTTTGGGGATTAGGGTTTCCATGTAGCGTATATTGGAACAAGAGCACCTATCGGAAAGTGTAACTGCTGACTTTCTTTTTTAAATTTCCAGGTGGTGGGGATCCTCGTGGGACTAGGTATCATTGCCTTGGTGACTTCGCCCTTGTTACTCCTGGCCTCCCCGTGTATCATCTGTTGTGTCTGCAAGTCCTGTCGGGGCAAGAAGAAGAAGCATGACCCATCCACAACGTAAAGCACTCTGTAATCCCGTGCCACAGACGTTTGGTTTCTGTGAGACAGCACATGAAAAAGCCCCACTGAGTGACGCTGCCTCCTTTTCCTTGCCAAATTCTGGAAGTGCCTCTGTGTCCAGACCTTGAACTTGCCTGCAAGCCTTTGTCCGTGCTGGATTGGGAAAGGGCAAGTCCTGGCTGCAAGTGCTCCTGTGCAACCAGAACTGGGCGCCGCAGTCTGGCTGTGTCTGTGGAGCGTGTCGGGAGTTTCGGGGTTGCTTAGGAGGAATTTGTACATCTTCATTTTATCGTTCAAAGGATCCCACCGAACTGTTAGTCTTCCAGCCAAATTCAAGGAGCCTAAGTGAACATTCAATACAATAAATATGCTTTTATGATTGACAGCATACAGGCTGAGAAGAAAGTGTGTTCTGTGTTGATTTGCCACAGTGGGAAACATAAGGGAGGGGAACCCCCTTGTGGGAGGGAAGGCTAAGACTACATAAAGAGAAACTCTCCTAAGAGGTCTACTGTAAAGCAGGCTGCTTATCTTAGGAGTCGATATGTTGGTTGTGGCTCTGCCAGTTACTGGGTGTGCTGTTCCCAACTTTCCCACAGTGATTTGGCAGAAACACAATAGGTTTTTCCTTGTGTGATCTCAGCTTCAAGCGGGAGAAACTGCTGGGTGAGGGAGTTGTCCTTTCCCGGTAAAAGGGTTGCAGCATGTAAAACAACATGGGCTAATTTAGCATCTGTCCTTTGGCAACTGTTACTTTTCTAAGGTGGCCAGCTCTTCTCTTACAGGCAAGAGCTGTGGTCTACAAAATTATTGTATATGAAGTAAGGTTAGAGTAGGAGAGATTCAAAACTTTCATCCTGGATAACAGGGACCTTTGTTGGCATCTGTTCATACAATCAGCTGATTTGGAATTGGGTCTAAAAGTATACATCAAGGCTAAACATTAAATTCCACATGTACAACTAGAATCCGTATGACTTACAGCCTACCTAGAATTTCTATCCGTTGGGCACGCCTGGAGACACCCAGTAGTAGACACAAAATAAATTTTTACATAAAAGTTATTCTTTCTTTCAGTGACTAAAATGTTTTATCATTAATCAGCCTAAAGACGTTTGCATAGTTTATATGTGAATTTTAGTTGCAAGCTCATAACTTCCCCAGGGGCATGGACTCAGAAACCATTCTTTTAAAATGAAACTTAGTATGGTAGTACACTATCTCTGTAAAAACCTTAATTGATAATTAAGATATTTGCATATTTTCAAACATAATTCAGAGCAACTTTCTTCTCAGTATAATTTAGCACAATTTTTTCTACATCCAGTAGGACAGTCTGGATACTTTCTGTGTATACAAGGCACTGATAAGACAATAAAAAGGTGTATAAGAAATAAAACGGTAGTATTTTATATATTTCAAATAATTTGGGTTGATATCACTGTAGTATGACTTATGTTTCCCATTGTACTATTAGATTTACATAAATGGGCTTTGAAAGGACATCACGTGTTTCTCCAATGACAAGATTAGGTAGTTGCCGTTAGCATTACAGCCTGGTGCTTCATGAGAACTACACAAACGTTGATGGAGACCTCTCTTGGAAGACAGGGGTACTCTATCAGGAAATATTCAGGACTAGCATAGTTTCTGAGGTAACTGGGTAACTAGATTATTAAATTGCTGCTATCTGGACCTATTATTAAAGGGTGAAGATTTGTCTATGGAATGGAATGTATCCTAAGTGGGGATGTATATATTTAAGAAATTTTAATTCTCACATATATATTGTTACCTTATACACGTACAGTGCATTCATTGGTCATGTACTTTTTTATTTACCATTTATATAGAACATAGCTGAGAACTCTGGGAAAACTTGAATGGCAACCATCCAAAATCATTTTTTTAAGCATTTATTAGAAATTTCTCAGTAGTGAGTGACTTAGTTGTCCTTTAAATATCTAAACACTTCAGAGAAAAACCCTCTTCCATCACTGTATTTCAGTATTTTTCATAGTAGTATAAACGTAAGTGTACCTATAGTTGAATAGTTAATTTGCTTTGTTTTACAGATAGCCTACTTCCTCATTGTAAAGGGCATTGATCACTGCTCAGGGGATCACAGAAACTCAACTGAAATTGAATTTTGTACCAAAAGAATGTCAGAGGAGGCGATGTACTCTTCCATTAGTAAACTCTTGAGTGTGGCTCACAAAGGCTCCTTAAACGGGCAGATTTCAAGTAACTGAGATTCTGTGATCTCAGAGGAAGAGTTCATGAATTTGGAGTAAAAGTGGAAGAAAATGTCTATGCTATTTCCTCGGCAAAACTAAAGGAATTATCTTCTCACAGTGATTTTATAACAGAATTAGCTACCTTTGGGGGGGCGGGCAGGGCTAGGGAGTAAAGAATGTTTGTCAAACTGATTTTAAGTAACTAGATTTAAAAATTTTTAATGATGTTAAAGTGCCTGTAAAGTGGTGACTTCTTTAAATAATAATGTGCGCGAGTTGTCAGAACTAACAGGAACGGGTTGGTAGGTTGAACCCAAACATATCTCTGGTGCATGAAAGGGAAGGATGCAAGCCAAACTAGAGACTTCCTTTACAAAGAAGAGCGCTGACAGCTCGGTTGATATGTTCATCTTGGATAATTGGCCAGTGACAGAGTTTAACCTTGTTTCTTCCTCTCTTAGCTTTATTCTTTCCTGGAGATCCTTTTTCTGTTTCACAATGAGCATGGGGCTGGATGTTGTAACAAAATCTTTTGGAGTTTGGAGCAGTAGAGTCTATTTGAAATAGAATTTTTCAACTGGCTAAGCTGTAATCTGGTGTAAAAACCCACCACCCAGACATGGTCAGATAAACTGGTACAAATCTAGCCACTGCCTTCTCTAGGAATCTTTCTCATGCTATTAGACACTGAGGTGAGGAGGGAAGCCATATGAAAGCAGATGTTAGAATCTTAGGCATCTTATTTGTTCATGCTGTGGGTATTTGCTTTGGATTTGAAATCTGTACTTTGAAAGTGGCCTTTGAAAAACAAATAATTCACAGTGTGAGTTTTTCTTGTCGTCTGCATCACAAAAATGTTATCTATCCAGGCTTGAAAAATCTACATGTTTATTTGAATGTAAATCACTTGTTTTGTACAACCTAAATTTTCTCTTTAAAAATATTCAGGATCTATGTATGTATTTCTTTAGCTTTCTGTACACAGTGCTTCTAAAGGACTTTTCTTTCTGTTCATGAATAGATGCCTTTATGTGTATAGAATCTTGTACATATGTGTAGTTTTAAGGACTATTTCAGAAATGCCTTTGATGAACGATGTTTTATAAAGCTGTCAGAATTGATATCTCTGAGCTCTTACATCTCATGTTGATTCATGATCCAGGATGTTTTGTTATGTACTTACAAAATTGCTATTGTATTATATTTTTCCAGTTCTTTGGAAGTAAAATAACTGTTTTAGTCTCCCTGGCCCCAATAAATGTGAGCAGGAAATCATGTGTGTTAACCTTTTTGCGCTGCACAATTATAGATGGATTCAATCTTATCCTATAAGAACCAACCAAGTTACTGTGAAAAACTAGATTCAAAATTTATAAGACGTACCGGAATTCACAGAAATACCGGAATATGCAGTATGGAAATAATGCTTGCTATTTTGTTTCTTAAAACAAACAGGCAAGTATAATGCCTTTACTTGTTGAAGACTTTCTTACTCGGTGTGGGATATTCCTCTCTGCCAGTGCACAAGACTTGACCATTGTCCAGAGAAATAGCCAGCAATCCAGGTCTTTCATCATGGTGATAGAAAAAACTGCTTGATGTCATAGTCATTCATCCTGTAAAAAGAAGGCTGGCCTAAATGCTCTTTAAGATTAGTTCTAACCTTCCAGGACTCTGTTAGAAGAATGTGTTTTCCTGTTACAAATTTAAAGAAAGGATTTACATTAGAATGTTAATGGAAGGTTATTTCCATTTGATTAGTATTCAAGGCAGGGCTTGCCTAAGTTGAGCACCAGAAGTTGGTTAACAGATAGAACTTGTGTTTCTCCAAAACTGAAAGCTCACTTTACTTGCATGGTTGCCTTTTTATTGAATGTTACATTCCTTATAAAATGATACCTGAGTTCAAAAGTTTATAATTGACTTATAATTCAATGTTCATTTTCTAATCATTCATTTTTGGGGAAATCAATATGATCATGTCAGAACATTTTGGGGTTGTGGTTTCTTAATTTTCTTAATCATCTCCTAGAATGTCAACATTATTTCATTTTCAAAGTGTGCTTACTGTCTGCTAAGCTGGAATTTGCATTCCCAAAGAAATACTGAATGAACCATTTTATATAGCAGTGATTTTAATCAGTGCCCTACCCAGCAAGTGCATTGCAATGTAAATTATAAGTCTAGTGAATTTGGGAGAGAATTATAATTAGGTTTTTCTGCAATTCAATTATTTTCATCTGTTAGATAACAAATCTAGTTTTTCTTTGGACCATAAAGATCATGTCCAACTCCATATTTGAAAAATGAATTGATTTCTTCAAATACTTTTAACAATTATAATATTTTTGTGTATTTTTATGTAGATTAAAGAACTTCTGAGAACAAACCTGTGAGATAAATGGAGCAGACATTAGATCCATTTCTTAGAGAAAGCAATGGCTTAGTGTTCCCTTCTTGCAAAGGGTCAGACAATTGATAAGTGACAGCCAGAGAAAAGAATGCAGGACTCCTTGAACGGACTTTGCTGCTCTTTCTCCGGTCAGTAATTCCCAGCCTGTATTCACTTTCAAATCTGTGATTCCATAGAGAACACACTTCCCGCTCAATTACGTGCATTCGCCAAGATATAGGTAAAAGAATTTATGTTTCAAATCATCATTTTGAGCTAATGTTCTGTTGTGACAGCGCGCATGCGCAGGGCAGATGAATGTTCCCTGAGATCAGCCCTAGTCGTCCCAGAGGCTCAGCGACAGTAGGTCACGAGATGGACTGTGATTCATTGGAGAAATAGCAAGGCCACATGCATCTGACTTGCTAATATCAGATCCACAGTGATTGTGGAGGCCACCCACTTCAGAAGCCAAAGTACTTTGCTCTCCCCGGGGAAATGTGTTCCCACAGGTGCCTTTTGATGTTTACAATTCAGATTCAAAGCCATTGTTAACCCAGATTCCAATCTTCTCCTATTCACATTACTGATTTGTACTTGAATGTGCATTTGTGGCCTGTCAGTAAATGAACCAACTGGCAGTTTCAAAAGGTTGAAATGGGGTTTTAGTAATGAATTTCCTGAATGGATCTCTGATGTGTACCAAAAGTTGTGCTTTGAATTTCATTTTCTGCCTTTATGTATTTCAATTTTATCAGTGCTGTCTTTGTTCTCAGTTTTGCTTTTTTATATGTTAAAACCTGAATTCAAGCTTTTGATGAGGAGGAAATTGGGTCTAATGTAAGAAATTTTATCTTGTAGTTCCTTAATGACCTGCACGATTCCAGAGTGTATATTTTCTTATGGAGAGCGCATGGGTGAGTGGTTAGCATTAATGCGATTGGACACTTTCAAATAAAATGAACTTGCAGGTTTTGTTGGGGTAAGTTATGAGGCTTCTGACTATTGGTTAGCCTAACTTGTTTTGAACCCAAGTCAAAGGGCCAGGGATTTAGCTCAGCAGCATAGCACCTGCCTGGCAAGTGTGAGGTCATGAGTTCGATTCCCAGTACCAAAAAACCCAAGTCAATTTGCTTAACTAAAAGTAAACAAATTAAAAAATCCACAGATGCACTGCAGAGCATGTCCTGAATTCCAGCTTGGATGGGACTTTGGCACCACCTGGGCATGTGAACGGGTGTTTGGAAAGGGCTCGCAAATCTGGTGTCACCCTGGGCACAAAACAAGTGTGTGGCTGCTTCTGTCCTTCCTGCCCTCTGCCAATCTAGGTGGGATGGAGTTGGGACACACACCCAACTTGCAATAAGATGGCCTTGGTTTTGTGCCTGGCACTGCTCTTGAATGGTGGTGTGGTCCAGTTTGAGTGTCAAAATGCTTATAAGCATTGTCTGCTAGGGAGGTGAGGGCGGAGAGGGAGCCTCTGTGTTGTGGGTTCTTGCGGCTATCAGGGTGGGCAGTGAATGTTAGCCAGGCACTGCTCTGAAATGATCTGAGGGGGAAATCTTGGGGATTGATCTTGGAATGCGTGTCAAACTTATGAATGTTTGTGGAGGGAGACTTGACTCCCTCAAGTAAATGTTTTGTCTGGGTAGTTAAAAAAAATTCCTTTGTGCCACTTTTTCACAATGAGATATTTCATAATACAAAGCTATTGAATTTTATGCTCAATTAAAATGGGATATGTGCAGGGAGAAATACAGAATTGATAGCAACATGATTTTTAGATGGGACATTTATTGTAAAAACTTGCATTTACACAATGCTTTATGGTATGCTAAGGACTTTTGGGCATATTTCCTTTTGCTGTTCATATTACTCTAGAAAGCAGATATTAATGTGCTGACCTTGTCCCTAAAATAGAGATGGGAGACATGCTAAGGTCATATAAAATGTTAGTAGCAAAGCTAGAATTTCATAACAAAATAATAAGAAAATAACAATACTTAATACACTGTGTTTTGTTATCTTCAAAGTAGTTACTCCTAGTACAAGATATAAACCAGAAAGATTCTTACAAAGATGAAACAAGCAGATAATAACACAAAACTGTCTTTTCAGTCATCTAAAATAAACTAGTAGTATACATGAAACAAATTAGCATATATATAAAAACATTTTTTAAACAACAGAATATGTAATTTGGGGAAATATTTGAATTTCTCCCTACTTCATCTCTCTTCTATTTTACTCTTTATTTGTATATTTATATATATTTTGTGTTTCTCATATATGAAAAACCATGTGCTGTTTTGTGTATCTGACTTGTTTCAGTTATTATTATGTTCTCACATTCCATCCGTTTACCTACAAATGGCTCAAGTTTTTCTTTCTTTATGGCAGCATAGTTCTCCACTGTATATAAATACCACATTTTCCAGAGCCATTTGTTTATTGATGGATATGTACTCTGTTTCTAAGATCTAGCTATTATAAATTATGTTGCTATAAACTTGGTATGCATGCATCCCTGTAACATGAGTTTAATTCTTTTGGGAAGATACCTAGAATAGGGATAGCTGGAACAATGGAATTTCTAGTTTTAGTTTTTTGAGGATTCTCCAGTCAGTTTCACTGCCTGTTATTGGATTGTTCAAGATTTTTAAGTCTTCTTGGCTCAGTTTTGGTGATTCATATATATCTAGGAATCTCTGCCTGTCTTCTGAGTTCTCCAAGTTTTTGCATGTGTTTGTGAGGTAGTTGCTACTTCTGGACTTTGGCAGTATCCATTGTTATTATACCTTTTTCTTTTCTAATTGCATTAATTTGTGTCTTTTCTTTCTTTTTTGGTAAGATTGGTTAAGATTCTTTGTATTCTGTTTATTCTATCAAAGAAACACCTCTTTAATTTATTCTTTGTGTTTTAATTAATTAATTAATTATTTTATTTTTTGGGGGGTACTGGGAATCAAACTCAGGACCTTTCGCTTGCCAGGCAGGCATTTGTGCCACTGAGCTGTATCCCCAGCTCCTGCGTTGTTTTTTTTAGTCTCCATTTCATTTATTTCTACCCTGATCTTTATAATTTCTTTCCTTGTACAAGACCTGAGTTTGGGTTGTTCCTGGGTTTTGTTGGTACCAGGAACTGAACTAAGGACCTTGCACTTGTCAGGCAGGCCCTGCTCCTGTTTTTCTAACAGTTTGAGATCCATCATGAGGTTTCCATTTCTTTGGGCTCATTCTAATTTTATGACATGGGCATTCACCATTATATACTTTCCTTGGACTGCTTTCATTCTGTCCCATAATTTCTAGTATGTTGTACTGATATTATCATGTAATTGTAGGAATTGTCTTATTTCTTCTTTAATTTTCTTTGTGACTCCTGGATCATTCAAGAATCTGTTGTTTAATTTCCATATGTTTGAATAGTTTCTGTGGTTTTATTGCACTGTGACCTGATAATATGCCTTCTGAGCCAGTCTGGGGAGAGTTGGGAGTTTTTAGAGGCATTTTGTTGCCTTGTCTTTTCGTGTTTCTGGGGGGTTTTGCTTGTTTTTTGTGCGGAGGGTATGCAAACTCTTTGGCCCAGTGCCCCATTCTTTGGGAGAAGGAATTATATTGTTTATAACCTCGAGGCAATCCAGATATTGGCAGAGAGGGAAAACCAGTTGCCAGCCATTACTGTGTTACCTTGGCTATAGTAGTAAGTTCAGCTATAACAGCAGCATCAAATTTCAACTGGATGTTGACAAGCCCTAGGAACCATTCATGAACATCCCTTAACAGAAACAAAGAGGACTATGATTTAAGTGAATATATTATCCCACCCTCTATACTGGCCTATAGTAATTCAGACCATTAATTTCTGCAGGATACAGCA